GAGCCTGGGACCCAACTCCTGAGGAGGGTTAGCACTGACTCAGCAGTGCAGTACGTACTCCAACGCATCAGACCTCTGATAGCCCAGACCTCTCGTGTCCACATCCTATCTATAATGTACATATAGCCTACACCGACCTAGACCASATTGACTAACCAGTTTTGGCCTTTAGGGCCTAACCCTACCCGAATATAGGCTATAGGACCGTCTATCAGCATAGGCCCGTGGGATCTTTCTGTCCTAGGGGTAGCCCGGGTCTGCTATTCGCAGTTTGGGTAGCAGTAGCCTGTAGCCTGTAGGGAAAATGAAGTTGGTACTGGGCCCATATTTCTATATTTACAGATATGTACCTCGTGAATTTTCCATACAGGCAGGTATCTCGGTCGATCCTTTGCCAAACGAAGAATGATAGAAAGCAGTGAACACTGAACTCACAGAGTCTCTCTCTCTCTCTCTCTCTCTCTCTCTCTCTCTCTCTCTCTCTCTCTCTCTCTTTCTCTCTCTCTCCGTCGTGTCTCAGGGATTCCCCCCCCGGCTGCTGATGTGGCAGTGATGTCCCTCGTGCCTGTCTTTGCTCCCCCAGTCTGTGCAACAGAGAAAGAGCTTGCGCCCGTCAATCAATAGGTGGCAAATGTGCCCCTGGGGTGCAATGACCATCCGGGCCAGGTCCAGTCCTCATCCTCACGCGACGACCTCCATCGTCATCTCCGTCCGGCGTACGGATCCTCGGGACGTAATCGGAGTCATCAGGATCGTCGGCGCCTGGGTCTCACCGCCCTCGGCGGCTGTGGAGTTGTCGTCGTGGAGGATGATCGTCCCGCCTCGTCTCTTCTCACCTCGACCTGTTTCGTCCACTCTGTCACCTCCCTCCGCCCCCCCCTGTCCATCTGCGGCAGCTGGCATCTGTCTGGTCTCGTCCCTGTTGCGGAAAAAAGGATGAAGGCGGCGCCGGTGATACGGAATCGACACACCTGTTCCCTTCTTCCTCGCCCGTGACAGCCTCGCAGTTGCCGTCCTGGTGTCGTTGACATCGCTCGTCATGGCCCGTATAGGCCTCCCATGCTGCTCCTCGTAAGCTCTCATGGAATCATGACAAGTGCCATCGACGTTGCCGATCGATCGCGCCCCCGCGGGCACATCTGTCGGTCCATATGCTGATGTCTGTCCGATATCGCCCGCCCTCCGGTCCATGCCCGCACTGTCGTAGAAAGACCTCGTAGGCAATGCGCTCGGCGCGGCCTCCCCGTGGGCGGCAGGATCAGCGGCAGAGGGACGTGAGGGTGGTGGACACATAATGTCACGCATCCCCGTCAAATGCGGTCGAGGCTCATCAGTGTGCCCGTCTCCAACGTCATGTGTGCTAGGCCTGACAATGTTGGGGTGTGCGGTCGATTACCCTCTGCGCTCGATGCCCCCCCTGAAGGACCGTCCACCATCTGCGCTCCCTGGCTGCACTGTATCCTCGCTCACGTCCTCGCCTCCGTCCGAGCGGATAACTCCGGGAGGCCTCGCCTCTAAAGTCTCCGCAGACCCTCGATGTGGCTCTTGCTGTGGGCCCTCCTCTGGTGGATGGACTGATGACACGCCGTCCGATAACAGCTGCGAACCATGACCCCCCTGCGCCAAAAAATCTCCAGACGCTGCCTCTAGTGAACCTTCCAGACTACGTTGAGCTGCAACGTGCGGTCCACCACGACGGTTCCGTGCTACCTCCTCCGCCAACCCCTGCTCCACCGCCCACGGTGCACCGACATGAAAAATGGCGGGAGTGTCGGACTCTGGAGGATGYRGTATCGTGTCGCCGCCGAACTCGTCGAACCCTCTGTTACGACGCGCGTCATCTCGTCTAGCAGGCTCCGGTGGTGCCACAACCGGCAAAGTGGGAGATGTCAGTAGCGATATATCGGGCAGAGATGCCAAGGCGGAATCCATGGTGAATAGCTCGTCGGTGGGCGGAAGACTGTCGGACGGGCAGTCGAGGCCGACGTGGTGGTCCGTCGGAGGACGTTCGTCCTTCCCGTCCTTTCTACAAGTGGGAGTGGGTGCAACCTCTCCCTCCTCTAGACCGCCGTCACTCGTGTGAGGAGGCGGCTCACGTCGTGCCTCGCCGTCCTCCAGACCCGCTCCTGTGGAGTGGACTGGGGCGCCTGCTGGAGTGCACCGAGTCTGCGCCTGGCGGAGTGGACCGAGTCCTCCGAACTCTGTCTCCTCCTCTGTGCCAACAACCGGCGCTGGCGACCGGGGATGAGTGATCCTGAACCCTATATCCTCCTCCGTCACTATCACATCAGTGTTCGAGGCTAGCTCCTCTGCATGAACCGGGTCGCGCTGCGTCTCGTTGGAAGGATCTCCCATCTCGTCCTCTGACACGGCAACCGGGTCTTGCCGCATGTCACGTGCCCCCATGTCGATCGCAATGTGGACACGACGTCTGCGTACACGAGACGCAATACTGTCATCCCGCCTACCCCCGTGTCTCAACCGCTTCAAAACGTAGCGA